TCTCTCTCTCTCTCTCTCTCTCTCTCTCTCTCTCACACACACTCCTTAACATGTATGGGTTATAAACATAATCTCTCTCTCTGTCTCCCTCACACACACCATACGCATACATGCACAAAAACACACGAACATATTTGTTTGGGTTGTAGACATAATCTCTCTCTCTCCCTCACTCACACACACACACCATACGCATCCATGCACAGAAACACACGAACATATTTGTTTGGGTTGTAGACATAATCTGTCTTTCTCTCTCACACACATTTGTTTGGGTCATAAACTCTCTCACACACCCACGCAAACACGCACTTATGGATTTATTTGGACAATCTCTCCCTCCCCCCCTTCCTCCCTCCTCCCTCGCTCCCCACATACACACAGTTTCAGGAAGAAATCCCAGTGCTAAACTCTCTATCATTCTTTACCCATCCTTTCAGGTGAGCCTAGCTGAATGGGCCCTTCACTGCCAGAAAAAAGGCGTGCTTGAGCAAATCATGGACCCATACCTTCGAGGAAAGATTGCTCCTGAGTGCTTCAAAAAGTTCGCTGAAACAGCCGAGAAATGTGTCGGAGATCAAGGCATAGACCGACCTGCAATGGGCGACGTTCTTTGGAATCTCGAATTTGCGCTCCAGCTTCAAGAGAGCTCTGAAGAGGATATTGTTGCTGATACTACACAAATTGAAAATGATGAGGAGGCCCCTCTGACGATGAAGGGCAAAGATGGACAAGGAGTGTTCGATGATACTACCACGACAACGAGTACAGGGATCAGCATGGGGGGTCGGAGCCTTGCAAGTGATGACTCAGATGGGCTCACACCGAGCGCGGTTTTCTCTCAGCTTATCAACCCCAAGGGGCGCTGATGACGTATACATCTCTCTCTATTCTACGTGTATTTCTTATATGATTTGTATTGTCATGGATATCTTTTGTTGGAGAATTGGGTTATGAGAGGTTCGTTATTTACCTTGCCAGGGATGAGTTGGATGGCTTCTCTTCTACTGCAATCTCCTCTCGGCTCATCAAACCCCAATGGGTGCTGAGCCATGAGCTCTTCTTCTTCGGATCCACCTGAGTGATGATTCGTTTTATTTTCTGTATGTTTATTTCTCTCTCTAATTTGCATTATTCTTATTGTTTGAATTGGTATGGCATCTATTATGCTGGAGAATTGGTTTTTTCTCTCTCTGATTTACATGTATTATTATTACTATTATTCTTTCTACTTGGTATGGCTCGTGTGTGTGGGAGAAAGAGAGAGAGATGCCTGTGTCCACTATGAGGAGAGAGCTCTCTCTGTGCAGAGCAGTATGGAATGATTGGCTGCCCCCCACTCTCTCTGTGTATGGAAATTGCATTATCTTTTAGTTGAAGAATAAAAGTGGTTGATGTCTTACTAGTAATAACTAAAAGTCATATGATCGTTGGTTAATTTGTTATCATCTGTTCCGCAGCTCTTGGACAAGTATCTCTAATACTTACTGGGGTGCGGTTTGTATGGAGCGTAGGCTCTAAACAATCAAATTAGAGCCTACCTTAAAATAGTGTCGAGAAATGTGGTTTCAATATTGGAAATCTTTGTGATAGTCTTAAAATATATTTTCATCTTTATTTATAAATTTTTAAAGCTTCGAAAATAGTGTTGATTGACAAATCTATGAAAACTTGAAACTTGAAAATTTTGAAAATTGGCCGTCGAAAATATACTATTTTCAAAACTTGAAATCCATTTTTTTCTCATGTCCAAGATGCAGAGATGATCAATTTGAGGATATTAGGGCATCAAAACAATCTCTCCTAGTGAAATTTTTGGGGTAGGCTCTAATTCGATTGTTTAGAGCCTTGGCTCTATATAAACTTTTCCCATACTTTATTTAAAAGGTGCCCTTTGTATAGGGCCGAGGCTCTAAACAATCAAATTAGAGTTTACTTTCAAATAGTACCGAGAAATGTGGTTTCAAAACTAGTAATTTTTGTGATAGCTTTAAAATGTATTTTTATCTTTAATTAAAAAATTTAAAGCTTAAAAAGTAGTATAGATCAGTCAGATCTATGAAATCTTAAAAATTGATGGTCCAAAAATGTGCTATAAGCTACACTATTTTCAAAACTTGAATTCCGTTTTCTTATCATGTCCATGTATTTTGATGTCGAGATGATCAATTTGAGTATATTTGGGTATCAAAATAACCTCTTTCGGTGAAATTCTTTTGGAGGGCGTTAACTTGATTGTTTAGAGCCTAGGCTCCATGTAAACTTTTTCGGGTGCACTGACCTCCAATAAAGTTTAGTTTATTTAAATATATAAGGAGACCGTTTTGGTACAAGAGGGCGCAATTATTTTTTTCTTATAGATTTTGAATGGGCTAGACTCAAAAGTTTTTTCTTTTTATTAAATCTATAACTTAGTACATCCAATTTAACATTTAATAGTTAGAAGTAATTGTAACCTCAATTGTAAAAATAAAAAATAAACTACTTCATAGTTCATAGCAATATTCAAAAAATTGATTCGGCCAAGCTACTCGGGACCTGATTGAGATGATTTAATCAGGCGAGTCCGAGTAACTCGATCGAGTCCAACTCTCTTTTACAAAAATAAAATGGAGAAAAAACGTTGTTATAGGTTTTTGAGTTGGAATCGAACTTGGAAAAAAAAGTGATAAGCGTCGGAATCGAATTTGGAACTCAGAAAAATAGATATTTAGAACTATTAAAATTAAAAAAGGATTTTAGAACTAATAAAAAAAATGATGTCTTTAAAAAGTGAGGAATCGAACTTTGGAACTCAAAAACACAGTAGAAATACCCAATAAAATATTCAAGCACAGCTGAAATAAAGTTGACGTGATAATATATTTGACGGTTAAAATTTTTTGTACATCCTACTCAGCTAAAACTAGGGACGAAGTTTATAGCTTGCAATTCCAAATTTTAATGCCGCGCTTGATTGGTGGAAGACCGGATTTGAGTGGGCGCATCTTCCACCAAGTGTTTACGAGTGATGAGATTCTGCACTCCTATAGGAATATTCTTCATTTATTATCTCGTGCAAAGCTCAATTTGGAACTATTTGTTGGACCTTAGATTATAGGATATAACCTCTCCAACCCTTTGAATAATATCGAACTAAATAAATAAATTCCACCCTGTTTATTATTGAAGAGATTGTCAATTTTCAATATACTCCCATGGGAGCATACCGTATACCTACTCCTTTGGGCAGACGATTAACTTGAGATGATTTTTTTTAATTTTAAAATTTGGGAACCAACTAAAATTCACTAGATTGTATTCAAGATAAACAATTTGGATTTGAGTTTTCTACCACGCACTATTTTTTTCATGACCATAGAGAATGCAATTTGAGATTTATTTTATTTTATTAAGCATAGCATATATGGGTTAAAGAGGTTACATCCAAAATTTTTAGGTACTAAAAATATTCCTTGATTAGGTCTTGCCCAAGAATTAAATAGACAATGCGCTCTTAGGAGCATGAAATCTTTTAGCTTTAATTATATCTAGATGGTGGTTTTAAAGTGGATGAAAATCTTAGGCAAGAAACTCTCCCATGTAGGCTCTTTACTTTGAGGGAGTAACAGTCATGGGCGGAGACTGACTAAAAGCTCTAGGAAAGCGAAATTTTAACATAGACAACTAATGTGTACACCAGATAAATGCCCGTTCATTCCACATAATGCTTCATCTCCGCAATCTCTATTAACAGACGGTGGCTGCCCTGCCTGTGCATCATAGGCATAATTTATATCGCACGCAAGCAAGCACAAAGTTGTGATCCACATGAAGCTCACTGCCAAAGTCTCCTAATTACATACGCAAAAATAAAGTCTCTTAGTCACAAAGACTAAAACAACCCAACAACATCAACCACTTCTACAAAATGTTTGGCTGAGAGCATGTTCCCTGTCTAATGCCAGTTTCCTTATGCATCATCCCTCTCAAATACCTGAAAACAATACAACACAATGCTCTTTTACTTTGTACCACTACAAAGACAACGAGAAAAGAACAGTGAGGGGGTGGAGGCCTAGAAATTCAATGATATACATACAATTCTTACCAAAATTATTATGCAGCATCTGAGAGAGTACACTTGGGTACAGAGTCCACTAGAGCAATTATCTTCTTTTCAAGCTCAGGTTTGTTTGCACCCACCAATTTTTCTATTTGTTTCCCAGCTTTGAAGAAGATGAATGTTGGGGTTGCTTGAATGTCCCATGACGAACTCAGTTCCTGCGTGATGATATAACATTGGTTATAAAGTAGATAAACAAGAATAAAAAGGCACACACTGAGTGCACTGGATCTATTCATTTTAAAAGAGAAGATTGGGCTTTATTTGGTTGATTATGTTGGCACGAGAGAGAAAGAGAGTTTGTAGCCCCCTAGGCCTGGATGGTCAGGGTGTTGGAGCCAGGACACAATGTCAAAGGTTTCATTCCTGCCTCGAAAACGAGAGAGAGAGAGAGAGAGAGAGAGAGAGAGAGAGAGAGAGAGAGAGAGAGAGAGAGAGAGAGAGAGTAGTAGTTAGGTTAGGTTAGGTTAGGTTAGGTTAGGTTAGGTTACGGTTACGGTTACGGTTACGGTTACGGTTACGGTTACGTTACGTTACGTTACGTTACGTTACGTTACGTACGTTACGTACGT